GCTGGATGAACAGAGGGCTGCGAGCAGGAGCACAGGGACTGCGGGGCTGAACTTCGGGAAGGAACGAAGTAAAAGGAAGAGAGAGAGAATGAGAGAGAGTCTCCCAGGCAGCTTGATCCCATTAGCTCCGTCCTTGGGTTGCATATTTATACGGTCTAGGAGGTGAACAGATGGACTATCAATTTAATTCCATCTTCAACACCATCAGAGATTGATTTTCTACTCGCTTTTAATTTTGCCATAATTAATTAGATCATTACAACTGTTTTCTATTGATCTCCCTATTTAAACCTCAGATGCAAAGGGACTTCGGCAGATCCTTTAAAAACACAGAAGGGAAAAGGAACAGAGGGGGTTGCAAACTTTCTGAAGGTTTTTTTTTTTTTTCTAGTTTTAACTTAGAACATTTTCTGTGCAGAATAGCGAAAAAAACGCCTCTGTGGCCTTTTCTTTTAGGAAGCCTTTTTCGTTGCCTTTATATTTTCCCTTTACGTTTTGGTGAATCTTTGTCATATTTGTACATAGTATACAGCATATATAATGGATTTAATTGGTTCAATTACGAAAACATAAGTTTGCACGTGTATATGTGCATATATATTCACATACAACATATTTAATATTGAGATTTACAGAGATGGTGCACACACATTTATATATGGGGAATCTATCGACAGACGAGATGTGGTTTTCTGAAGGGCAAATATTTTTATTTGCCTCCCGTACGTGTCTCTCTGTGCACCTGAATTCCTCTTTAGACGGGGGATATTTCACCGTGCGACTCCACCAGAAATGACAAAGGAAAACCGGCGCTACCAGCTCCGGTTCCCAACCACGGTTCCCAGCGCCCGCCGCAGCCTTTCTTTCCAAGCCTCCCCTGCAGCAAACGATTAGCAACCGGGGCAACAGCACGGCTCTGTGCTGGCAGTCGGTGACGTTTGCATTTTAAACCACTATGTCCTTTTTTTCCTAAAATCCCTAAATTAAGAGCTCTGTTTATATATGTAATTTGAGGGAACCAAACCGCATAATTATGGTTTTACCGCGAGCGGCAGCGCCGAGGAAAACCTCTCCTCTCCGGCGGGGTTTGTTTGGAGCTTTGTTTGCAAATCATAAAATTGATGACTGGGAGCATGGGGAGATCCGGAGACCCGTCCGCCGGCGGGGCAGGTTTGTGGGAGGCAGAGCCAGCCCCCCGCTCGGGGGGACGCGGTCCTGGCCCCCACCCGCCGCAGCCCCGCTCCTCGGCCCCGCAGAGCCCGGCGAGGCGCTGGGCTGCCGGAGGGGCCCGAGACGGGGACAGCGCAGCTCCAGAGCCACCACAGCGAACAAAGTTTCACGAGGTGGGGAGGGAGTCGGTGGGGGAAGAGTTTAGGCAATGCCCCGAACTTTCTGCGGGAGAGAGGCAACTCCGGGATTGAGGCAAATAGACAAAAGCCGGCGGCGGGGTCTGGCCCGGCCGGCGGGGGCGCCTGGAGGGCGGCGAGGCAGAGCGGCCGGGGCCGCGGGCAGCCGGGCCGGGCCGGGCCGGGCCGGGCAGGGCGGGGGGGCCGGGGCTCGGCCGGCTCTCCCTAGCGTCTGGGGGGTCCCCTGCGGGTCCTTGCGAAGCTCTCACGGTGGGAACCCAGCCTTTCGAGGTGGGCTGAAGCGGGCACCCGTAAGGAAAGGGGACATTTAGCAGGTGAGATGGCAAGTGTTAGAGGGGAATCTGGCAAGGCGAGGAGGGTGTATGTGGAGGAGAGCAGAGGCAGGCTGCCTCCTGCCAAAGGAGGGAGTTGGGGGTGACAGTCTCATCCCTCCCTGCTGAATATTCAGCGCCCCCCCCGCCTTACCTGCTCTCCCTGAGCTCTGAGCCATGGCTCCTCTGCCTAATGGCCCGTCTCCCCGGGACGGCTGCAAGCCAGTAGATCTGCCGCGGCCTTTTCTTCGCTTCTCTCCTCCCCGCTTGGGTGTCTTGCTTTCCCCCGCTGACTTTCGAGATCTAGGCGCAACCACCCAAAACTAAACGGTTTAGATAACAACACACACACACCAGAGCACCACCACCACCACCACAAAAAAAAAAAAAAAAAAAAAAAAAAAAAAAAAAAAAAAAAAAAAAAAAAAAAAAAAAAAAAAAAAAAAAAAAAAAAAAAAAAAAAAAAAAAAAAAAAAAAAAAAAAAAAAAAAAAAAAAAAAAAAAAAAAAAAAAAAAAAAAAAAAAAAAAAAAATAGCCAGCCACAGAGAAAGAAACGCCGCTCTACTGAGCCGGGACAAGCTAAAAGGAGGGGAAAATAAATAACAATCAAAGCAAATGCAGCGCTGCTGCTTATAAAAGTGGAGAGGAACTCACCTGCTCCAGTCTAGCAGGGCTGTGCAGCTAGGGAGGAAAGGGGCTGGGGGATTCCTGCGGGGATCCTGAGGGAGGGGGGGCAACGCCTGGACTTTGAATCTGCTTCCCCTTGCCCCCTTTCCGTAAACGGGCTACCTGTAGGGAAGTCTTGTTGCAACAGCAGATTAATTTGTTGTCTTATTACCATAAAAATGTGCTCGGAGAGGGGGCTGGCAAGGGAGAGGGGGACACGGGACAGAGGAGGAACTTCCTCCAAGTTAAAAAGGGAGGTGGTGGGCTCAGGCTGAGGGGGGGCGCATCGGGGACGGCGCGGGGGGTTGGTGGTGCAGCCCACTCAGGAATGACAGCGGTCACCTCGGGGGCCCGGGCAGACTCCAGGTGGGGTGACGGGGGACGGGGATTCCGCCATTTACTTTGGAGGGGACGGAAGGCAAATCTCTGAAGTCTACCTCTGTGAGCACCTAGCTTTGTGCTTCTGAGAGATTATCTATCTGCCCATCAATCTCTCTGTCCCTCCATTTATCTGTCCACTCGTCTTTTCCTTGCTCCTACGGCCACGTTTTGGTACAGGCTTCACGACTGAAAAGAAATAAATAATAAATAAAACAAAGCTCCAAAGAAAAGAAGAAAAATTCCCAGTGCTAAAGACATCACCGAACGAATATTTTTCTTTCTCTCATTCTACCCCTCCCTTCCATCTCCCCATTGATTGAAAGTCTCTCTCAGCTCCAACAAGGAGTCCCAGGAAAAATGAACCATTCTGCTATCGATTCTTCATTAAAATTACATTTCTGCATTTGCTAAATTGGTTTTAAAAAGCTTCCCTTGTTATTATTGTCTTGTCAGAGCCGGCGGTGCTGGGCAAACAGTATTTAAAAGCTTGGGACCTCTCCAAGATGAGGCTGTTGGGGGTTATGTGTGTGCATATGTTTCTTTTTCTGAAGTGTTTAGGAAAATGTTAACAATGCGGATTGGGGAAAAGCATGCCCCAGACAAGTGGAGAATTGTAAAAATAAGGAAGACAGACGGAACGCTTTCCTTCATATCGCTTAAAAATCTTCGATTGTTTCTTCAAGCAAGGAAAAAGAAAGTTTCATTTTAAATATTTCTATGGAACACCAAAAGTCAATAATTGCAGCAACGAGTATTTGCCTCATATGCCGTCTGCAGCCTGCTCTGCAGCAGCCGCTGGATCTGTCTGGAGCGATTTCTCATCTCCCTGCAGCCTGAGCCCTGCTCGCAGCCGCACGCTCCTGCGGCGCTGAAACGTGCTTCCTCGGTGAGATGTTTAAATAAGTCCAGCTAACCCTCACACACGAACCAGATTCTTCCGACCTAACCCCAACAAACCCCACGGAATCCCCGTCCTCCCTCCCCAAACTAGTGTGAGAAAAATCCACGAGAGACTCTGGGAGATTTACTTTGAATTCTGCAAATCTCTCTCGAAAGAGCAGGGAAGCAGAAATGTCTTCCTGATGTGTTTATCCCCTAATCAGTTCATTAGTTATAAACAACATGACATTAGAAGTTAGGAGGCAGTTGATATTAATTTTTATTTAACTAGTTGATGTTTAATCCGTCACGCCAGACTGCTTAGAGAGAGCTGCCTGACACAAACCAGTTAGAACTTCATACACCGCGATGATCGGCCAGGCACCGGGACAAACAAACGGCGGCGGGGCGGGGGGGGGGGGGGGGGGCGAGAGGCAGGGAAACGGAAGGGAAGGGAGTGAGGGGGAAAGGGGCAAACCCGGGAAAGAGGGAAAAGCAGCAAACGAGATTAGAAAATTCCCTCCTTCACTGGGAAAAAAAAAAAAAAAAGATGTGTGTGAATCAACAGAGAGAGGGAGGTGGGGGACGAAGCATGAAAAACATCGCCAGCAGATTGAGCCGAGCGGGCCGGGAGGAGCAGGTGCCCATGCCAGTCTCCCCTGCGGGCGAGGGGGCGGCCTGGCGAGCGTCCCGGGGACGCGGGGCGGGCTGGGCGACCGGGCTGGGGCTGCCCGGGGGGGCGACAGGAGCGGCAGAGTGGGGGTCGCCGCCGAGAGAGTCCTCTCTTAATTAAAAGGGGCGCCGGCTAATTAGAAAGAGGCTGGCCGAGGGAAAAGAGCAACACGTAGAGGGACCGGAACAAACGGGAACCGGACTGTTCCCGGTTTCCCGAGGTGTAACAGTTCCCTTCGGTGTCAGACTGTGACCCTTAACCAAGCAGCGCAGGTGCTACTGCAAATAAAAGGAGTGAACGATTATGGATACACTTATGGACACACGTCTCTTCCTTCCTTAAAGCCGTGCTGAAGTGTTATCAAACTTGAATCTAGAATTACAGACTTCCTTGTTATCATTTCTTGTTTGTCCCCTTACAGCAAACCGGTGCCCTAGCAATGGTTATAGCTTACCTGTTTGGCTCTACACCATCTTTATATACGTGAATCTCTGCTCTTTACCCACTGACCCTGGTGACATGTGGGACCCCCGCCCCCGCCTTTGCTCCCAAGGGGAACACCACGCATTATCCCAACACCTCCCCCTTCTGCGGCGGGACCCTTCTCGTGAGTGGTGTTGTGCGCCCCCCGTGTGCCCTTTCGGTCAGCACTGTTCAGAATGTATTAATGCGAGCTATTATAACTGTATCTACAATTTCACAATTAAAGCATTTATTGGAGAACCAGGAAAACCCTGGGCAGCAGCTCGGTGCAGTGCTTGCCCTGGACACCTATTCCTCCGTGCGGCAGTAGCTGTGCGGCTGTGACTACAGGATAAGTGTTCCTGCTTACCACCCATATTTTAATATCAATTTCCATATTAATCAATCACCCCAAACATCTATCTGCTGGATAAAGGAAATAGTTCACATTCCGAAGAAAATTGCCTACTTTCCCGCAGTTAATAGTTAACTCCGGAATAGAAAGTTCCCAGGGAAATGCGGAGGCAGGGGGAGCGTGGCTCTCCCTGCTCCCAGCCAGCACCGGCCGCCGTTTACCCCTGGCCGCGGCTGCTCGTACCACTCGGGAAAACTTCCCGGCTCCTCTGTTGCGGGCTCGGGCTACGGCTGCCCGCGCCTTCTAGTAACAAAAAACAAGACGGAGTGTTTTAAGAAATAAACTCCTGATGGGGCTGTGGTGTACAGAAGGGAGGCAGATAGGCTCTTTCCCCATAGACCGAGACAGAAAGTGACTGCAACAGGTAACAGGGCAGACACCAGAGACACGGGGAGCAGGGGCGCTTTCCAGTGGCGAGAGGAAATCCACACTGCTTGGCTGTTTGGCTTGAGAAACATAGTAAGGAATGTGTCCCTTTCCCTTTGTCCGACGTCTCCTCTCCCTTTCTCTGAGGCAGGGTGTGCTTTGAAGGGTGGAGAGGATATTAAAGAGAGGACATGCTGAGGAACCAGTGGAGGAGATGCGAGGGCAGAGGCGAGGCTGCACCCTGGCCGGAGGCTGCAGCGCTTGGAGGCCGCTCCTTGTGGCCCGGCCAGCCGGCAGCCGAGCGCGGAAGGAGAGGGCCCTTTGCCGAGAGTTTCGGGGTGACTTCAGAGGTGCGGGATGTCCGTGTCCCTGCCGCTCTGCTCCGTACTGTTGCCTTAGTGCTGACCTGGCCACCTGGTGCCTTTTGGCGGTGATGGTGGAACTGGGGAGGACACAAACAGAGGGGAGAGGAGCAGAGCAAGGAGCGGGCCTCTCGTTTCGTTCGGGTCTGTCCGTAGAGCTTGTGGGATGAGCAGGAACCCTTCGAGCTACAGAAGTTGGAAGGATGCTGCTGGCACAGGGAGAAGCTGCCTTTCCCGGGGCTGGGCTGGTGTTAGAGCAGCGGAGTGGGAAGGGGGTTGCAAGAAGTGGGTGGGTGAGGTGAGTGCCTGGGAGCCGATGCGTTGGGGTTGTCGTGGGATGGGATCCGCCCGGCCGCCTGCGGGACGCACTCACAGGGGCTCCCTCTCCGGGGAGCTCCGACGGGGTGTCAGGGTGCTGGTGAGGGGGGTGGGCGGGAGAGAGTCGGGGAAGCTACGGCAGGAGACGCCGGTGCCGCGGCCTTGGCGTGAAATTACCGTCCGGGACGTGGCGCAGGGAGGAGCGGGCTGGGCGGGCCTCCCCGGTGCCGCCCGGGGCACCGAGCCCGACCGGCTGCGGGAATCCGGGTACCCGTCCAAGATCAGGACGAGAGTTCCTGCACCGGTTCGGGGGGAACCCCGAGGGGCACGCAGCCCCCTGTCCCGGGCAGCCTCGGCCCCGTGGCCAGCGGGGCGGCCGGGCCGCGCGTCCCGCCAGAGGGGGCAGTGCAGATCGGCGGTGCCGGGCACGGGGCTCCGGCCTCGGCCCGGCCAGGGGGCTTCTGTCCCAGCCCCGGCGGAGCGTTACGCACCAGCGTTAACACCTCGCTGCCCTGTGGTGACTCTCAGATTCAAGAGCGCTTCCCAAAATGTTTCCACGCCCCCGGCCGGTCATCCCGGTCGGAGGCGGAGGCTGGCAAAACCAGACGAAGTCTCCTCGGGTCCAGGCTACTGCTCCCCCTGAGCGGGGCCAGGGACGGGCAGGAATGCTCTCCAGGGATTTGGGGAGACATCGGTGTGATCGCTTCTTCCTTCTCCAGGTAGTTCAACACAAGCTTCTAGCTCAAGCAAGAGGACCCAGCAGCCAGGTGGCCTGTGGATGCCCTGTGCTTAAGGACTGCCTGGGCCCGGAGGGACCGGGAGATGCCCTGTGGTTCAGGGAATGTGGGGAGTCACTGCGTGGATTAAGGGAGGAATGAAGGAGGGGGACATGCAGGCAGGGGACTGCCCCTCGCTATTGCCAGAACTGAAGAAAAGGAAAGGAAAAATGGAAGATCACATAAAAACGATGAGAGGCTGGAGGCACAGAGTGTGCCCTGTGCAAAAGAAGGTGAAAAGTGAGAAGGAAATCAGGATGAATGGATAGACAGAGAAACAGACACTGATTTTTACTAATATTAGAGAAAAAGGACTGAATGAAGAAGGAGACATTTAATTTGATGGCGAAAGAGGGATGGTTGCATGGATGGATAAATAGACAGAATAGATACAAAATTTTAAGGCGAAAAAAGTAGAATATGTGAAAAGAGGAAAACAAAATTATGAAAAACCTCACCTTTCTAACGTTTATGGGCAGAAAGGAAGGAGTGAGAGGGTAGAGGAAGAGAAAGAATAAGAGAGGCAAGGAAAGGATAAAAAGAAAAGGGAAAGAAAAAAGTAAGGAGAAGAGTAAAGAGGTTTTTAAGAGCCGTCAAACAGTTGGTAGGCATGAGAATTAGAACAGAAAAGCAGAAACATTTATGGCAGCTGCGCTGAGGCGATTTCCCCATTGGCATTTTATGGAGCTCCTAAATCTCAGCTTAACGCTGTTTTGAGCTGTAAGAATTATTTTCCACCATACTTTTCTTTTTTAGGTTCACTTCAAGTTTCCATCACAGGTCCCTCGGAGCAGGCAGAGCAGCCGCCCCCCAGGCAAGCGCCTCCCGTCGGGCCGACGGGCAGCGGGCAGGGGGTGCTCGCCCCTCCGCGCCGGGGGGGACGCGGCAGCTCCCGGCCCTCCCGTCCCGGCGTTCCCCGGCAGCCTGGGCGTCCCGCGGGGTAGCAGCAGGAGCGGCTCCCAGCTGCCTCGCAGGCACCGGTGTGGGCCGACGGGCAGAAGCAACAGTTCCCCGGCACGTCGAGGCAGGGGAAGGACCTACTTTTCCCCCGACACGGCTTTCCCCGGGGTGGGGAGGCGGAAAGCGGCGGCTTGGTGAGGTTGCCCAGCTCCGCAGCTCTATCCGGGCATGGGTGCGAGGGTTGGGGGGCGGCTAGGGTACAACAAAGATAAACCTCAAGGTGCGAGAAGTGAGGGAACAGTGGTTGTCCCTTCCCAGACAACCTGTCTTTACACACTGCCTCCACGTCGGTGGAAAACTCCAAAACTCTGTGGAAAACTCCAATACTCCAGGCACTAATAATGATAAGAGGAACAATAATGACAACAATGATAATGCATTTCCGTATATTAAAACAGAAAAT